CAACATGAAAACCTAACCCTTGTCTCAGCATGTTGTGTGAATCAGGCCATCATGTTACCTGAGTAGATGTAATATGAGTACAGCAACTTATTTTTGTTGACCTGGGTTTAGGACTTAAGTGTATTGTATGAGCCCAGCCAGAACCCAGCTTAATGGGCATAAGCTTTCACTTACATCAGTTGATGAATATCAGTGGATCAAACTAGGTGCTTTCAAGGAGAAGGAAAAGGAGAAGGAGAAGGAAAAGGAGAAGGAAAAGGAGAAGGAAAAGGAGAAGGAGGAGGCTGTTTTTAGCATGTGATTTAACAGAGGCATCATTTTTTCTGCTTCCCCACTTTCCAGAACTAGTTATGTGATTGGTTGGAACTAGCTAGGTAAAGGCCTAGGGAAAAAGGCCTCTCTTCCTAAAACTCCAATCTCTCAACTGTGCCATAGTTCTACCTTGTCAGCACTGGACCCCTGAAGCTTTATTTGGAGCTCTAGTCAAAGTTGCTGCCAAATTGTAACTTCTAACACCACAGGAAAACAAATTAAATACATAGGGAGCATAGTATTTCATTGAATTAAGGAAACTTGATGTTAATTCAATTTAATCATAGACCGAATTCTTCCTCCTGGCACCACTGCCTTCTCTTCCCACTTCCTTGGCATGCCACTTGAAAGCAAAGATGGCTCCCACCCTAAAAAGTTGCACATCCTCGAAGTAGATGGATTTTCCTCTTCCATACCCAGTGCTCTCCAAAGGAGACAGAAAATAAGTGTGAAGCTAATGTATGACCAACTCCACTCATGATTGTCCCCAATGGTGGAGACACCAAGGAAGATAAAGATGAGGGTGTCGCTAACACTGCTCCACATCTTCATGAAGTATTTAATAGTTGTGTGGGACTTGAGAGAGATGTTGGCTTCCACATAACGCTTCATGCCCAAGGCACAAGAAATTATTCTGAGGGGGGAAAGAAAAGCAATTTAGTACAGTCCTTTTCAATTCAATTTGTGCATAAGCATTTTATTGAAACAAGATGGGAAAATGAAAAGTGGAAACAAATAAAAATTCTCAACTTACAAAGACAGTTGATTCTCAGCTTGCAATAACGTGAAAGGACAGAGCACATATTGAAGGCAATTTGGGCATTTGAACCTTTTGTAACTGGAAAATCTTGTGCCATGGGACAAGCTCCCCATATTTTTCAACATTTAAATGGCCAAAATCCTACAAGAAGCTATCAATCTCAGTCATTATATATAACCCTTAAGTTAGATTGAGGACATCAAGTGCAATCCCCTGCAAAGAGGAAAACGCATCTCCCCCACAAAAGGAGGTCCAATAAAATAAAGTTCATCACTTCTCTAGATAATTGGTTCTACCACTCCTACAGTTAGAAAGTTTCTTCTGACATTCAGTCAGAACCAGCCTCTCTGCAACTTAAATCTATTATTGCATGTCCTGCACTACACTCTAGACCAATGTTTCTCAACCTCGGCAACTTTAAGATGTGTGGACTTCAACTCCCAGAATTCCCCAGCCAGCAGTTGAAACATCTTAAAGCAAACAATGTGTCTTGCATGGGGAAGAAAATTTGGAAGGAAATGAAGACTGACTCAAGAAAACATCCCTGCAATTTGAGGGACTGGTGAGTTCAAAACACAACTAAAGCACAGGAAACTGAAAATAAGTTCTCACGGTCACAAGTTATGTGTTTCTAGTCCTCAAATAAAAACACGTTAATCAGAACAACTGCATTTTATGTACAGTAGTCCTTCTCTCTGCCTACAACAAATAGAGTTTTTGTTCCTGAGCTATTTCTTCCCAAAAAGCTTTAATGCTCAGATCTTAATGGCTACAGAGATTGTGCTGAAACTTTCAATCTAGGATTCATTCTGGTCAATACTAAGCCACAGAAGCCACCAAGAGTCCATTTACTTACGCCACAATGCCAGAGAGATGGAACATTTCTGCAGTGAGATAGGATAAGTAACTGTAGAGGAAGACGAACAGGGGTTCAATCACTAAGATATTTTTAGTAAAACGAGTGGTGAAGGCTGCAGTCACAGCATACAGAAGGCCTACCAAGAGCCCACCGATGCCAACCATAAAAAACTTCCCGATGCCCACAAACACATCTGCAGCTCTGATTGTTGGCATTTCACAGAAGGACCGGAACAGCTTGTAAAGCACCTGAAAAGAAAACAGAAATTACACTTTTCTTCCTAAGAGAAATAAAATGCCGGAAGACATCTTCCAGTTTCTCTGGAAGTCTTCTGTTTCTCTACCTTATTTTTAGGATATCTGAAAAGGCTGGTTGAGTTTCTTCTGGACTTTTTTTTTTTTTTTTGCACACAGTTTATTGTTGTAAAGCGGTGGAAGTATGATTGCCATTCCTTTTGTTATACATCTCTAAATTTCTCTGGGTGCCCATGCTTTCCAATCAGAGAAAGCCCCATGAAAGGGATCCTGGGTTCTAATGGAAGTATGAGAAGCCAAGGAGATAGTAGACCATGGAAGAAATGATAGCATTACCTAAAGCTCTCTCGCACACACATATACATTCCACATCTAACTTGTAACTAAAATACACGCAACAAACTGTACAAACAGCTCTTGAGAAATTCACACAATTTTGAAACCAATTATTTTCCCTTCAACTGAATGACCACATAGCTGAAATATGTGTGATGGGATGTATCTATGAGGAGGGGAGTCATGTGGGGGATCAAGGCTATCGGGAAGGGGGGAATGCATTCCAGGAGGAAGGAGGAGGCAAGAAGCAGCAGAGTCCGCAGGGGGAGCGTGGGAAGTGAAAGAGGTTCAGGACAGCCACTCCCTAGAATCTCACAGGGTATTTCCACTAGTTACTGTAGTATAGATTGCGTTTGGCAAGATTCTGTCTATAAGGTGTAAGCTAATAAAGGGACTGGACTGGACTGGACTGGACTGTTTCATCATTGTTCTTGGGCTGAGCCTGACAATATGATTCCTGATAGGCCTTTTCAGAGCTGGCTGAACCATCAAGCAGAAAGAGGAAGTAACCTTAGGTGGCATCTGCCGGCATTTGGACAGCATCAAGTTTAGAAGACTGCCCTATCTGTGATGACATAAAGAGGGAATATCCAAATATGGACTGAATCCAGGGTGCAAAGGGCAGGACTAATCTATCAGTTCCACTGGGAAAAGACTATCTGGGTCTGGCCAACATGCATTGAGTTTTATTCAGGTAGATCACTTTCAGAAGTTCCATCCCTGCACAGATGTGAAGGAAAAGAAGAGACAGGTCAAATAAATATCCACTTCTCTTCATGTAAAGGGTTGATTTAAGAAACAGGTTATCTTTTGATCAAGCCCTTGAAATAAATACTTTGGTGTGCCTTGAACCTTAAGAGTTCGATACTTACAACTGTCACAGCATCATTGAGGAGAGATTCCCCAAATACCAAAATGTGAAGCTTTTCATTGACATGGATCTCCTCAAAGACTGAGAGGACAGCAATGGGGTCAACAGCTGCAATCAAGCTACTGAATAAGAGATTATGAAGCAAGGAGATATCACTCAGCTGGAAGGCATCCACCTGACATATCCCATAGAGGGAGAATCCAATGCCAAAGACGTTCCAGATTGTTCCCACCACAGCATACAAGAGGATTGTTCCAATATTCTCAAAAAATGGGCGACTTGGCATGAAATAGCCTGCATCCAGGACAATGGGTGGCAGGAGGTAGAGGAAGAAGATATCACTATTCATAACTGGAGATGACTTGTCATTTAAGCCAAAGATAATACCTCCCATGATGAGGCCAACAAAGATCAATAGGCAGCTTTCAGGGACTACTGATGGTAGTTTTTCAAACAGATGGAAACCTGCCAGAGATGAGAAGAAATTATTGAGAAATCCAAAACTCCAAGACAACAGAATTTAGCATCATTATTTGATAGTTACTTGACCCTGTGAATATGTTGCATCCCAACTATGGCGTGAGTTGAAGGCTAGGAAGTCCTAAATCCAAATTTTCCTTGAGTTGGGTGTGAATTCATTCAGAGTACCTAGTTGGAGAAAACTGCAGTAAACTGGTTTTAAAACACAGTGATCTTTCAAAAGCACCGGGACTCTTTTCTAAGAAAAAACGAACTTACTCGGTGAATCTTAAGATTTTAGAGTTGCTTAAGCGGGTAACAATTTGGATGCTTAGAAATCAAGGTTGCACAATTCTGTGCATTTTCATACATTTGCTGCAATAAGTGGTGTAACTTAACAGGACTTCTAGAAAAGACGTTTAATGCAACTGATGGTTTTTGTATCCAGCCGGCTTTTGAGAATCCACTGTCACAAATGTTACTAACTACCAAAAAAAGGAACATACAACCGATGAACAGAGAACAATAATATTTATTTTATATCACTTGTATTATATTAGTATAGAATTTTGATGTAAGCAAAAGTTCCTGGATTTCGCCAGCACTCTTTGCAGCTGTAAAACAGCATTATATATTCGTGCAGAACTTTGTACACAAATATATACATTCAAAAGAATGCAACACATTTCAGAGAAGTCTTGCAAAGATACATATTTATATACTTTCCTATATATGTATATAAACTTTTGTCAAATATGGAGAGGGGGTGCACATTGACTACAAAAACTAACTGTGTGGTAATGATTTAGAACACAAAGTGATACCCCAGAAGAAGCAGTATTAATTAAAATTTCTCACAAAAATCTGTACAACAGTTAAGATATGTCACTATTGTTTTTTTAGTCTTAGAAAATTAACTTTAAAACATTTTATTAATACACATACTGAATAAAACCTAAATAAATGATGCAAGGGTTTCACCTTATGTTAATGTAAGTTATTGAAATGCCAAAAGTGGTCCTTTAACACACTGAACGCTATAACTACTATGACTAGAGTGATATAGAAATTATGTAAATGAATAAATACAATTAAATTTAGGGATCAAGAGGAAACTAATGTCCTTGCACTGAGAAAAAACTAGGGGAAAGAGAGAAAGAGATGCATACCATCTTTTAAAATGAAACCTTCTCTCATTAAATTCCAAAACCATGAAAATCAACTTCTTAATTCATTCAAGTTCAGCCATTTGCCAATCTGCTCCCACTGGACACTTTCCCTTCTCCTGCACATCCCCAGTCCCATTATGGAATAACACTTGCCAACTTTGCAAAGGTATTGGAAGAATTCCCTTCTTTGAGAAGCCCAGTGAAAAAATGTACCACTTACTTCCTTTAGAA